CAGTTAGGGTACATAAATTTAATTGAGGATACTGTTAACAAGTCCATTTGGCTGCACAAGTCCAATCCAGATTTTTATTACTAAATAAAGCTTGTACTTTGATCTCTTCCTGTTTGGTTCCAAACCAGGCAGGAAAGAAAGGTGTTATTTGTTGGACCCTCTCAAAAATCCAACACAAAATAAAGACGATGGCGCCTTCCAGAGTGGTGACAGCAGGTTAAGGAAAGAAGCAGAGTAATTTGAAATACAGTTTGGAAAACAGATTTGACAGGACTTAGTGCTGGCTTAGACATGGAGGGATATCATGGAGGGTCCCTAAGACCATGTCATGTCTGGAGACTTGACAAAAGGACTCACAAAATTCATTATACCGTTCTTCTCATGCTAGGATTATTACAGAGATGTCGTAAAGTTACACCGCTGAATCATAAGGAAAAAAGGACACAGGTGGAGTATGGAAGAACCCATGTGAAGGCTTCCTTATCTCTCTCCCTCTGGGGTGGTGGCGGCGGGGGTCACAAAGAACTCACTCTTCCTCCAACAATTAAACTACAGAAACAGCCCCGGCCATTGTGGCTCAGTTGGTTGGGCACTGCCCTGTAAACTGAAAAGTCACGGGCTCGATTCTCCGTCAGGGCACATGCCTAGACTGCGGATTCAGGCCCTAGTTTGGGTACATATGAGAGGCAACCAATCAATGTTTCTCTCCCACTCTTTCTCCCTCCCTTCCTCTCCTTCTCCCTCCCTTCTTCTCTAAAAGTCAAAAAGTATGTTTGCGAGGGAGGGAGGAAGGGAGAGGGAAAGAGAGAAAGAAAGGAATTTTTCAAGGACTGGTCACATAGGCACCTCTGCCCAGCATATCCCAAAGTTCCAGGCTTCCAGAAGGAAAGCAGGTTGTGGTCAGTATAAAACCATATTGTTTGTACCAACAGCTGAGTCAGCTTTATTATTTAGGGAAAGCTTTATATCAATGTAGGGAATGGTTTACCAGCCAAGTTCCCAGATGGCAGCCACGGGCCAGCCTCGCACATGGAGTTTTTACAGTATGACAGTCTCAGGTCAGCTATGTTAACTCTTTTCTGCACAGGAGGAGTGAGGAAAAGGGAGATGCCATCCAGATTTCTACCGTAAGCATGCAGCTGGACAGTGTTGTCACTTAGGGAGATGGTGGGGACAACAGGAGGTATAGGTTTATGGGAGAAAATTCAATTCTGAACACATAAAATTGGAGATAGCTCTGTATGAGATATCACATTAAATATGCTATGTTGCAATCATAAACAACCTTAAAGTTTCAGTGGCTTAACATAATAAAAGTTTATTTTTCACTTAAGTTACAAGTCTTTCACAGTCTGGTGGAAGCTGGCAAGCTGGGGAAGGGTGACCTCTGTTCCATGTTGTTACTCGAGGACCCAGGCTGGTGGGGGCTCTACCATCAAAAAGGTCAATTGTTTGACAGAAAAGAGATGACTGGAGAGGTCTCATATCAACTCTGCTCTAGGAGTGACAGACTGCATTTTCACTCACAGTCCATGGGACAAAACTAGTTACCCGGCCTCCGCCAGCTGTTAAGTGGGGCTGGGAAACGTTGGGTAGTAGATGGGATGTTTAATGAGCACGACTGCTTCTGCCACAATATCCAGGCAGGAATGTCAGGCAGGTATGACTATTGTGGAGACTTTCATTAAAGAGTCATAAGCAGACAGGTGATATTTAAAGCCACCCTCATTTCCTCATGATCTAAATCCCAATGGCTTAATAAAGGCCATGTTATCACACCTTTCTGGCTTGAAAGATTATAAAATCCCAATTGGTGGATACTCTTCAAACCTCCCTGTAATGAAACTAGCAACACACAGATGTTTTCACTAGCTCACAAGACGGAATTCGGCTTAGGACTGAAGGCAGTTTTTGAAGCAATTTGAGAGGAAATACGTGGCCCCGAAAAAACCCTTCCTAGAAACAGCCTGATGCTCAGAACAGAGGAACAGGGCTCACAAAGGTGAGAAGGGATATGTGAAACTGTAGACCAAGATATTAAGGGGTAAGGTTGCAGAAGAAAAGCCTTAGTTTTCAAGGGTAGGTAACAAAACTCATGCCAAGATCTACCACTAGGTGTCACTAGTAGGAAAAGAAAGGATGAAAGGAGGAAGAAGGGGCCTCCAAATGGCCTCCGGTATATCTTAGTCAGAGCTGGGTGCAGGCTGGCTAGAACTGTTCTAATGAAAAAAAGAAGGTGGGAGTGAAATGACAGTAGAATCATGAATTTTATTCTGAACTGTAATGACTTTCAAATGGACTTTTGGACTTATGGTTCCTCCTTTAAGCTCACATGCATGCCTATGCTGCATGGGTGTGCATGTGCACATTTGTGTATCTGAAGTGCAGAAAAGTAGTTTATTCAGCCTCTCACTACAGCTTTCTACACATTTTATACTTTTACATGACTAACCACATTAATGATTTAGGTGGGGATACAAAAGAAGTTCCAGTTCTCTCTCATTCTTGTGTATGTATATATAAGGTCTATCCAGAAAAAGTCCAACCATTGATAATATGAGAACAGTTTTTGCAACCTCAGTGTAACCTGGCAGCCAAGGAGAGTGGACTGGAATGGGCATGTGTGAACAATGACAATTTCATTGTACTAGTCAGTGGGGGACGATAGATGCCATTGAGTGAGCATGTGTACTGTGTGTCCGTCACATTCAAAATGAGCAAATAGAGCAATGAACCTGTGTCAAATATTGCATTAAGTTTAAACATTCCTGTGTGGAAACTATTCAGGTGATTCAGAAGGCCACAGCTATGGGCAACTGATGATGAGCAGCTTCATCATGACAACACACCTGCTCATGCATTACATCTCTGCAGTTTTCTGGAGAAACATCAAATCACCCAGGTGACTCAGCCCCACTACAGCCCAGATTTGGTGCCCTGCAGCTTCTTGCTTTTCCCAAAACTAAAATCACCTTTGAAAGGGAAGAGATTTCAGAACATCCATGAGACTCAGGAAAATATGATGGGGCAGCTGATGGCAACTGGAAGAACTGTGTGAGGTCCCAAGATGCCTACTTTAGGAGACTGAGGCGTCATTGTCCTATGTACAATGTTTCTTGTATCTTGTATCTTCTTCAGTAACTGTCTCTATTTTTCATATTATAGGGCTGGATACCTTCTGGACAGACCTCATATGCATGCATACCTACTGAGGTCTTCAGTTTATTCTATATCAGATTTAAGGTCAGTGGATCTAAAATGTGTCTTATTTTAATGCCTAGTTTCTATCAAAGCAAAAAAGAACTTTTCACTAGAAATAGCAACCCTTATTTAGTCTTTCAATGATACCGAATAAAGGCTGCCAACATACTCCATGTGCCAATAAAATATTTTGGGATTGCTAACAGGTAACGTAAATTATAATAAATCCAAATATATTTTATTATCACTTTGGTAAAGTGACTCTTCAAAACTAGATGGTTAATTTGTGCTTGGATCAGTGAAACAAATTGTTAAAAGGGAAATTATCCCATAAAATATGACTATTAGTCTAAAACTATACTAGACAGAATAGAAATTAGAACAAAATAGCATTGCAAGAAAATCCTTTATTTTGGGCTTCTCCATCTATAGAAGATGTTCTGCGTCAAGGGTCATAGAACAAAAAAATGTCATTTACATGACATATTGGGGTAAATGGACAAGGTCCCTGGGTTTCAGCAGCCCCATGCCCAATGGGCAACTCAAGGATATGAGATCAGTATGTCAGGATATTAAAAGTAGATTATGGTTCTCAATCTTTAAGTCACACCTGAATCACTTGGGAATTTAGAAAAAAAATACACTTATCCTTCTCCCCTTTTAAGATTTTTACCTCATTGGTCTAGGCATCAGGACTTTTTTATATCCCCAGGTGACTCTAAGGGACAGCTAGAATTAAGAAAAACCACATTAGAAGATAGTCAAGAAAACTTTATATATGTATATAAACTATCAGACTCATCTAGCTTTCCATTTTGAACACAAGTATGAGATTTTTTTTTTAAAAGATCAGGGAAGTAAAAAGAGAAAAATCAAAGTTGTGAAGTTCAAAATATGAAAGCGGAAATCTCTCATCACTCCCCCAACAACCACTAAGTTGTGTGTTTTTTAAGAAAACGCTTATGTATGCAATACATGCCTACATATCCGTATCAAGAGAAACGATATTTTTTACATTAAAGAGGGCACACTACACATAGTATTCTATGACTACAATTAACATGTCTACAGTGTATTTCATGTAATCATTCCCCTGTTGATGATCAATTTAGCTAGCCTCATTCTTCCTTGCAATAAAACAATCTTCATATATCGATTACATGCATTGTGACTGTTTCCAAATATTTTTATAAGGTAAATTCCTAGAAGTGAGATCGCTGGGTGCATTTAAAATTTGGATAAATGTGGTAAGATCGACAAACATTTCAAAATAAATGGATGCCAACCTACGTTTGTCAAATACAAGATTCGTAAGACTGTCAGTTTGGAGGTCCTGGCAGAGCGTGGTTGGTCCGCGGTAGCTGTCGAATGGGTCCTGGAGACTGACGCTCAGGGGTCACGTGGGCGGCCTCGCCCCGCCTCGGGAAGCTCAGCTCCGCGGCCTTGCCCTGGGTCACTCAGTAGCACCTCGCGGGGTCGCAGCAGGTCGCTCTCTCAAAGGTGGAGCGAGAGACTTGAAGGTAAATTCGGCTCTTGCTGCGGGGTTGGGCGACAGAGCGCAGGGCGGGGCTCGGGAGGGCCGCTGCTTCCGGCAGGGTGGAGGCTCTGGGCTCAGACTTCCGGCGAAGGCAGGGGCTTCCTAGAGCTGGCGAGATTTGCTGTCATGTGGCCTCTATCCCTGGGCTTTCTGAGCAGTGCGACCCTCCCCAGCCTCGGTGCCAAGTTGGTTAACCGTTAACCCCTGGGTCACGCTTCTGCCCAGTCACAGCGAGACCCAACGACTTCGTCCACCTTAGAGTCTGTGCCGCACCCTGAACCTGCCGCCTCCGTTTAGCAGGCAGGGCATTTTAAACCAGCTGTCCCAGCCTTTGTGCGCTCTAAGGCGTGAGAACTGCTGCAGGGTCTATCCCTGCGTCCCGGCCGTCCTGGCTGTCTTCATCTGGAGTATGCAGACAGAAGAGTCCACACCTGGACAGCCCCGCTCAGGCTGGCACTGGTTATTGAGCACCGCTCCATCTAACTACTGCAGACCTACTTAACTGAAATGTTAAACAGCTTGAAGTCCTGTGCCCATTAACTGTCAGAGCTGGGCCTTAGTGATGGCAGCTAACATGACAGGCACATTTCCAACTTTCAGGCCGTGCTCTAACTTGAGTGAACCTTTAATTCTTCACTAGAGCCATAAGTGGCAGGCCTTACTTACTGCAGCACAGTGACATAAAGACATTTGCCTGAAATCACGCAGAGGCAGGATTCCAACCCAGGTGAGTTCACCTGCTGATCTTGTCTCTAATATCCCAGATAATAGCAGCAGATTCCAGAACTGCTACGTGACTTTATTAAATTATTGGCGAAAATATTCCATTTTAAACATTTGTTGATACAACTCTTGCACAATAGCGTTCCTAAATTTAAAAAACTTTAGATTCTTCATCTTTGGTGACATATATGGTGAGACAGAGAGAGAGAGAGATCTTTACTTTGCTAAAGGGTTTGGTACCTATAAGATAGTTTACTTGCAGGCCACGTGTTTTTATGAGTCCACGGATACTACTTAGATAAAATATTAAGATTTATACTTCAGTGTTCACAAATTTAGACTCATAAGATCTGGGTTTGAATCTTAACTGCTACTTTCTGAGTTTGGGTAAGCTTTTGTTAAAAAGGGCTCTTTACCCTTAGTTGCCTCATCTGGAAAATAGATATAAAACTGCCTGGAGATTTTGTGTAGATTAATGAACTCCTATATGTAAAGAGTCCAAGCATTGGTACTTACTGAAAGGTAACTTGTTTTACCCATTATTCTGCCATCCAAAGAGACGGTACAAAGCTACTATCTATGGCATTTCTCTTCTCTGAACCTAAAAGCAAGGGTGACACCCTGGAGCTATGTGTTCTGAAAATATGTAGACCAAGCCCTAGGCTTAGTAAAAGCACTTGTCAGTGCTCAAGAGGAGTTAATGAGCAAGTTCCTTTAATTTCATGTATCTTCTGTCTCCAATGTCTTAAAGATAACTTAGTTTTTTGTTTTTTCCCAATTCAACTTGAATGGACTCCCTATCTTGGAAAGATATCTAATAGCTACTGAGGATCCATTTAGCTAATTTGTAGTTTTATGTGGTGTTGTTAACACTTTTGGAACCTAATTTTAGAGATGAGCCAAAAAAATATTTCTTGAAGAGTGAACTGTGGAACAAAATGGCTAAAATTTTCAGAATTTTTTTTCTTCTCATAGCCTGCAAACTGGATGAACTGTTTAATATTTCACTTTCTTTTTATTCAGTTAAGATTCTACTATCTTAACGTTGATTCAAATTAGAGGAAATGTGTGGGAGCATATGAATAGTGCATCAAAGTAACAGTAATTAAGGTGAACACATTGACTCTTGTTCTCTGAGTGGACCAGCCTTGATATTCACAATATTAAGAATAACATGGGTGTTAATTATAAATAATCACCAGATATCATAAATAAATAAAACTATGATGCATAGAGGGAAGAGTTATTTGAAGGATGAGATAATACTTTTCTACGCAAGATGAGAGACTGTAAACATAGTTCTCGGAAACCTTTATCATTAGCCCCAGCTTTTACTGCTCATTTCTTATCAGACCCTGGAAAATTCACTACAGTTTTCCTTGGTTGAGGGCAAACCCTGCAAAGACTGCAGGTTCTAAGAGACTGAAACTTGAAGGGGGATTTTATTTGGTTCTTTTATTTGGGAGTTGGAGAAATCTCATTTCACTTTAGATGCTACTCCACATCGCATGTATTTTTTTACTTGCTTGATACTAATATTTCTTTTCTCATTTTTTGCCTGGAAAAAGAAAAGAATAGAGAACTATTTATTTATTTCCTCCACTAATGACAAGTTTTGAAATAAGCTGAATGTACACAGGTACATTCTCTGAGGATAGAAAGTGCTATTTTATTTCTTTTTCTTGGATTTTGGATCATTTGGATAATAGTTATAAGGTAGGATACAACTTAAATATTGAAGAACAATAATTTTAAACATAAAACTAAACAATACTTTGAGACATTTAAGAAGTTTTGTGTTAACTATCCCCTTTTCTTTATAAATTTTATTCTATATATATGTATCCATGAATATTGTTTGGTTTTTCCTGTTTTTACACTTGATAAAAATAGAAGCATACTCTAAAAATCTTTTAATTTTTCATTTAAAGTTACATTTTTCAAATTAATCCTATTTAATATAGCTATACTACTGCTACATTCCATTGAATGACTGTAAAAATTATCCTTTTCACAGTTGATGAATTTTGAGTTGTTTCCTGTCTAATTTGTTATTATAACCTTTCCCGTGCATGTCTCCTGGTGTACCTGTGAATGTTTCTCTGTAATATACTGCAAATGGGATTATTGGGTCATCAATATTCTCAACATTACTAGGTAATGCCAAACTGTGGGTTGCACTAATTGATGTCATCACTATCAGTTGCTTCATATCCTTGCCAATACTTGGTATATTTTTTGCCAGTCTGTTTGATAGAAAGTAGTATCCCATATGTGACTTAGCTTTACATTTCTTTTACATTTTCCTACTAATGATATGGAGCATCTTTACCTGTGATTAGTGGCCTTTCAGATTTCCTTATCTGTGAAATGTTTGTTCATGTCTTTTACCCATTTTTCTATGATTATTCGGAATTTTATTTCTGGTTGATAAGCGTTCATATATTATGAATCTTAATCCTTTGTCAGTTAAATGTGTTACAAATTCCGTATTTATTTCTTTTGGTTCAGCCTGTTTCCCCTTTTTGAGTTCATCTTTCCATTCCCATTTTTCTTATCATTATTGCCCTTCTGTCTGTTCTGTCACAAAATGTGATAAAGGGCTGGCTGCATGTCCAACACTGTGGAGGTAATTACTACCACCAGAACAATTTGTGTACTTTTGGGTAGCTTCCAGACTGTTTAGAGATGTAGTATGCAGACTCCTGTCAGCTGTGGCTAACCCAGAACATCATGACTTTTTTTTTTAAAAGCACTGTAGTTTTTGCTGTTATTATTGTGAAATGATTTTTCAAAAATAGCTTACGTGTTTTTCCTACCCTTTTAAAAAGTAACTAGGTTAGTTGGAGCAAAGGTTAATAATACTAACTACAAAGTACAAATTGGCATCTCTATAATTTCCTAATTTGTGTAATGCTTTCCTCTATACTTTGAATTCAAAGCTCCTGCTTCTACACACACACACACACACACACACACACACACACACACAACCCCCTTTATCCTACACTTCAGTTTTGGAGTTCAGGCGTGTATAATATGTAATATCTATTCAATATCTCACTTATGGCTCAGAACTAACCTTCTCAAAATGGTAGTCTATAAATTCCTTTTTCTAATGCTCATTTCTAACATTCACAAGGAGATTTTACTTCTTAATAATTTCTGTTATGAACTTATTTTTTAAATGGGCCATCCTCTCATTTGAAAGTTGCTAAGAAAGTAAATTCTGAAAGTTCTCATCAGAAGAAAAAATTCTATAACTATGTATATTGATGGATGTCATCTAGACTTATTGTAGTAATCATTTTACAATATGTACAAGTATCACATTATTATGTTGTACACATTAAACACATTAAATAGACACAAACATGTCTATTATACTTATTTTTAAAAATAGCTAAATGAGCCAATGTTCTTTTCCTACTAACATTTTCAAACTTCCAGCCATATAGGATTAACTAAATATTTAGAGAAATCACCAGAAGGCCTGAAGATTATGTTCTTAGAGTATACAGAAGGTCTCTTTGAAAGGGTTGCTTTCAAAGAAATAGGCTGAATATCTGTGCTGAGAAAAAATATTTTTAGAATACCTTCAAATTCTCTACTAAATCTTTGTTTAGAAATGAGTTTGAACAATATATTGCTATAGATTAACTGAAGAGAAGTCCTCTTTGAGTGCCCAAATGAGAAACAATAATGACCATTTCTGATTTAAGAAAGTTCAAGGTGCCCATTCACACCTATCCCCTTCTGCCAGAATAGTCGTCTAGTTATCTGTAAGAGCTGGCGGTCCCTGACAGATAAAACCAAGTGAGACAACCCAATGATTACACTTCCAGGAATTTATCTGGAGAAACCCAAAACACTAATTTGAAGACTATATGCACCCCCATGTTTATTGCATCATTATTTGCAATAGCCAGGCTATGAAAGCAATCTGAGTGCCCATCAATAATCTAGTGGATTAAAAAGATGTGCTTCATATATACAATGGAATATTACTCAACCATAAAAAAGAATGAAACCTTACCATTTACAATAGCATGGATGGACCTAGAGGTTATTATGTTCAATGAATAAGTCAGTCAGAGAAAGACAAATACCATATGATTTCACTTATATGTGGAATCTAAAGAACAAAATAAATGATAAAAACAAAATTGAAACAGACTCATAGATACACAGAACTAGAAGTTGCCAGAAGGGAGGGGGTTTGGGACACTAGGTGAAGGAGGTGAAGGGACTAAAAAGCACAAACTGGTAGCTACAAAATAGACACAGGGAAGTAAGTAAAGCATAGGAAATATTGTCAATAATACTGTCATAATATGTATGGTACCAGTTGGAGTACTGGAAATATCGAGTAGAACACTATGTAAATCCTATGATTGTCTAAGCACTGAGCTATACACCTGAAACCAATAGATAATTTAAAAAAAGAAAAAAGAGAAAGAAAACCAAGTGAGCCATCTCAACCTAGAGGTCCAAGAGTATTCAGACTGTCAGAAAATCCCATCTTCAGCAGGATAATAACCAAATGTTTAACATTGAGTTTGATGGGGAATAAAAGGATAGTGAAACTTTAGCCTGTGTCTTAGAAGTTCTGAAATATCCATCTTACACATTAGAATGAACCTAATACAAGTCCAGCCTCAATGTGAGGAGTTCTCCATAATTTTTGCAAGTTTTAAGAATCTCAAACTCAAAATCATGACTAAGTATAATCCAATATTTAGAAATGTTTTATTTTATATAGATACAAAAAAAAATGCTTCCATCAGTCTCAGAGATTTCAGACTTCTCATATGATACATCTCCAAGCTAAGTTATAGCCAAATTAGTGACGACCACTCACAGTTTTCTTTTTCTTTCTTTCTTTTTGGTTCAACCAGCATGGATCTTGGTGGCTCTGAGCAAGATCCTGAAATGAAGGAAAATTCTCCTGTCTATGTTGGCAGAGAAGATGACATTAAAAAGTCTGAAAGAAAGACAGCTGTTGTCCATGATAGAGAAGTGGTCATTTTCTACCACAAAGGAGAATATCATGCTATGGATATTCGCTGCTACCGTAAGATTTTAATTTTCATTTGTAAATTTTGAATTTGTTTACTAACAATAAAACAATCAAAATTTCAGGTTTTTTAGTGACTAGATGTAATATCCAATTCCTTTTCAGACTCAGGAGGACCTTTACATTTGGGAGACATAGAGGTATGCAAAATTAAATCTATTCTCAAAAAAACTCAGATGTTTCCTATCTATATTCTTATTTCATTCTGCATTCAAAAATAATTTACATTTGGGTTTGGACTATATTTTAATGCTTCAAGTACAAAGAAAACCATTTCACAGATAAATGTGAGAAATATGCATGTCTTCTGACTTAGCAATTACAGTCCAAGATATCTACCCTACACATACAATTACACAAATGTTTAATTATATCTATAGGAGAGGGTCATTGTAGCATTATTTATTGTAATAAAAATTGACAACAACCTAAATGTTTTAGCAATAGGAATAGGAAATGTTTAGCAATAATTGTTTAGCAATAGTTTAAATTATGAATAGTCAGGCTATGGAATACTGTGCAACCCTTAAATTAACGAGGCAGGTCTATATATGTTGGTGTGGAAGAATGTCCACAATATATTTTTTAGTGAAAAAAGCAAGTTGTAGAATAATAGTTCTAATGCAATCCCATTTTTTAAATAAAAAATAACATTCACTTTTTACTTTATACACTTCTGCATAGTTTAAATTTTTCCAATGAGTATATATTTTTATAATGTAATAAAAATATAAGTTTATATATTTTGAGAAAGAAACCACACTTTTGAAGACTTTACTGGAGGAATGAGAAAACTGTTTTGCTTCCTTGCATTCCCAAACTAGCTACCTTATTTCTTGTTCTTCTGCTTCATGAAACTGATACCTCTCTTTCTCTGACTTGTACAACCTTAAATTTATTATTCCCCTCGCTCTACCTTCCTGTCCTCCTATTTCCCCACTTACCCTCATGTTAAATGATATGTATATACATTATGAATATTTTGAGTTATGAAAATGTGAATGTTTGCTAACAGTTTTGAGGGGATACCATGTCAGTAATCCAGCACTTCTGGTGTAAAAAAAAAACAACAGAAGCACAAGCACCTGGTGATGATAAATTAGAAGAATTTCCTTCAGTTTAAGACCATGAGAGTTATAAGGACTTTTTACTTTAGTAATCTCTCTTGATTTACATCTAAAGCTTATCATTCTTCTAGCAGCTAGTGAAAACTCCTTTAGAAGCACCTGAAGTCATCGTCTCATTAATGTCAAGGAAGTGACGTTGACATCTCATAGATAACAGCACAGCTGCAGTAACATGGTATAGTTGCCTGAGCTAGTAACCCTTTGATCCAGCTCTAACACACTAGGTTTCTCGTCAACAGCAAAAGGGACTTGATGACTTCTAAGATTATATTCTGCCTTATGCTGAATAATTTTTAAATGGGAGTAAAAAAGAAAAGCTGGTTTGTTCTTTAACCTGCTTCTTCTTCTGCAATATATTCTGCCCTGAGTCTGAGGTTTACTGTGAACACTGAAAATGTCAGATTATTAAATCAATTATTTCCTTCCCTAGGATTTTGATGGACAACCGTGTATAGTTTGCCCCTGGCATAAATATAAAATTACTTTGGCAACAGGAGAAGGACTGTATCAGGCTATAAACCCTAAAGATCCATCAGCAAAACCCAAGTGGTGTTCTAAAGGAGTAAAGCAAAGGATTCATACAGTGACAGTGGACAATGGGAATATTTATGTGACTCTTTCTACTGAGCCTTTCAAGTGTGACTCTGATTTTTATGCCACTGGAAACTTCAAAGTAATTAAGAGTTCTTTCTGATAAAATTACATTGCAATGATAAATATGTATGTATTGAAAATAACCTTGTTTCAATACCAAAGACAGTGCATTACTTTTCTTTAAAAATTATATAAATCTGAGAAGCTCCAAAGCACATGTACTGAGTATGATGTAAGGATTATCATCAGGATCTATAGAATACATTTCATCCACTCTTCTGGATTGATTAGAACCTGAAGGTTATAGGTCTGGTATGTGCATTGTAAGAAGAATGAAAGTAATTTGCAGTAACTAAAATGAAGAAAAGGTATAAAATAAGATGTACTAAGAAAAATGGGTGGGGGGGGCAATCCTTATTTGACGTAGCAGATTTTGTCATGGAAAAATTTAATATATACAAAGTAAACAGAATAGTATAATAAACTCTCATCACACAACTTCAACAATTTCAGCATTCCTCCATTCTTGTTTTATTAATACCTTCACACATTCCCCACCCTCCTATTTGATTATTATTACTTTTAAAAGGTAAAATTTAAATACATTGAAATACTTAGATCTTAACTTCAGTCTTTCCAAATAACAGGGGAGGGCAAAAGTAAGTTTACAGTTGTGAGTATGTGAAACACAGAGTTTATTCCTGTATTATTTATTAATTATATTATTTTCCATACGAGCAACTGTAAACCTACTTTTGCCCACTCCTGTATATAACAGATTTTGTACACTTAAAATTGCCTCCAGAAATGGGATTAAGTTTACATGCCGAATTTAAAAATAAGAAACTTATCAATGTGCTGGACATCAGAACCAAGTAAACCTTGGCCAGGTTTCTCTCTGATCAAGACAAATGGTCTCAAAGCAAGAAGACGCACCCAGCTGCTGCCAAGCCACGGGGGAGCGGAAGTTTCCTACTCAGTGAGCCAAAGTACTTTGACTGCCTATATGGAATTTTCAAATAAAGGTTTTTTTTTAAAAAAAAAAATGTTTAGAGAACTTGGTGCATGTATGTACAAATAAGTGTTTTATGTAAATGTTATAGAGAGAAGAGACATAGGATATTTTTCCTCAGAGTCCTTCCTGCTGCAGTGGTGTTAAGTGGTTCACCCTGCTTTACTGTGCCAGTTACTTTTGGCCAGTGCTGTCCTGGTTGCCTGGTGCCCACACGGTGCTATAACACCCTGGGTGGGGGGCATCTAAAACTTGGCAGCACATAGAACATAAGAATAAGTAAAACCAGAAAGACCCAGAATAAGCAGAATATGAATTCAGACTGAGTAAAACTGTCATGTTTTGAACCTAGTCTCAAAGCTCAGTAATGTTCTTAGTGGCACAAGATTGAATTAAGGCTCCAAGCCTGACACTTTCCCTTGGTGATTATAAAATTAGAAGTGAAAAAAATAACATTAAGGCTCTGCTTACAGAGCCCTTTCTACATATTATTAAATTTCTTTTTCTGTTTGAATATGGGCAGCTTCAGGTAATACAACACTTGCACTCATTTTTCAGACTATTACTAAAGAGTCAGGCTTGGGCTTTGAATAAATACTCTTCAAGGCAGTGGCTACTTACCAGGTACAGGAACTATGTGCCATCTCTGGAATGGGCACATTCAGCCTATTATATTAGGTACTAGTCCTCTAATGACCAGTCAGGTCTTAACATGTGGCCAGAATTTTAAAAGCATTGAAGAAACCAAAGAATCTCCTGCAGGCAAAACCATGGCTCTAGTTTGCAGGGCCAATTATAGAAGCATTTTCTCTCAGGATCCAGTGGCAACAGTAAGTAGTATGGACTTGATCTCTGATTTTAGATTTGTTACTCTAAATCTGGAAATGAAAAATGTCATGTCTTGTCCTGTCCTGTCCTATATACAGAAGTCTTCTCATCAGATTTGTAAATAATACTCTATTTTTATAAATTCATGACATCTATGAATTGCAAGTCCATCATACTTTACAGATGAGTTATAAAAGAAGTGATAATAGGCAAGCTCAAACTATGCAGACTGTAGGAAGAAAACAAATATCCTTTGAAAAATATCTCTAAAAAAGGTACGTAGCATTTTTATAGGGAGGGTTTTCCCCTCCCAGAAAAATAATTAGAAAGATACTTGAAACAAGTCTTTAATAAAAACATAAATGTATTATAAATATACCTATATTTAAACCACAGCATAAAGTCTACCCACTAAAAGATATATTTTCTTGTTCATTAAAAAATATCAGATAGTGAAACATATATTCATTTTATTTTCTCTACCATATAAATACTTGATATGACATTTTATTAGTTCCTCCATACCCTTTTAAAAAGCAACTTAACAGTCAGTATATGAAAACTAGTTGCCTAGTTTTGTCAGATGAAATGTTATTAAATAGAGAACTCTTAAACTGTTCGGTGATATTTATGTTCAAATTTCCTACTCATTTATTTCAGCTGATTGGTCAAATATAGAATGTAAAACCTGGATCTTATTACTCAACTTATTAGCAGGAATATCTGAAATATTGTCTGGCGCCTCTGGTAATGACCTATAAGGTTTTGCTTTGATTTCACCTTCAGGAAAGACAGGTTCAGAAAGCACAGGCTCAGAAAAGGCTTTTCTAGGATTCTCGCTCTCCTCTCTGTTTTGCCTTATGGATTCTTCTTCTTGGAAAATTTTCTTTACCTTCTCCAGAACAGCGTTAACACAGACTGTCTAATGATGAAAAAAATTGAAAAGCAAAGTTTCTTTTTAAGCTACTAAATTTGCAAATAGAAAAGTCCAATAAAGTGTTTAATACAAAGTCATTAGTCTACATACTCTAATGGAGAAGTACTTCCTTTCAGGAACCCTTGGCACATGACAAACATTAAGAGATTGAATCCTTGTTCTGAATATACTACACCATAATCTAAAAAGGAAATTAAAACTTAGTGTAACTAAATAAAAGACATACTTTATATCTTTTTTCTCAATTCATTAGATGTTTTATATTTTTAGTCTCTGATTTAATTAAATGAAATATTTTCTTTATTCTCCTGATTTAACTCAATGACATCTTCTGTGAGGTGAAATTTGTCTCCAACATGTTAATACCTCACAGTAGGTATTTTATTTTTGCTTTTTCCCACTTGGACTTTGCTTATGCCCGTGTGTACAACTGGAAGGGCATAAACATTTTGGTAAGAATTTAGTAAGCTAGTAGATCAATGATTTCTAAAGAAACACGTGATCCATTTTCCTTCAAAAAATGCCATTTAGTACTTTAAGAAAGTGTCAAAACATGTATAGGAAATTAATTTCAAAAACTGAGAATCACTAAGAACTGCATCCATTAAACTTATGATACGAGTTTACTAAAGATGAAGACAACAACGATGCCAATTGTCTAAGGCAAGCAACAAGAATAATACAATCCAGGAAACATAAGAAGACCCAGTCTAGTTTATTTTACCAGGGATGCCTTAAGGTGATATAATTGGCTACAAACACTTGGAAGATTTTCAGAGAACAACAGAGAAAGGACTGGAGAAAGGACTGATTTCCTCCTGACCTCCTTGTCTCCTCCTTTCTTGCCTGCCTCCCACTCATAGAATGGGTAAAACATCAGATGCTTCTCTTAACCTTCCTGCAGTTAGTGTATGGCTATGTGGCCCTGTTCTGGCGAAAGAAACAAAATGTCTTCTGGAAAGGAGGTCAGGAAGGATTTGGGGGAAAGTTTTTCCTCCTTTGTAAAAAAAAAAGACTATTGCCTCTGCTTATCCCCTCCTTCCTTCTTTGGAAACTGATAGGGATGCGATGCCTGAGCAAACCCAAGGACTAAAAAGAACAAACAGGATAGCAGAAGAGAATGACAGAAAGGCCTTGGGTTCATGATGACACTGTAGACCCAGTGTACAAACCTGGGATCTCCAGCCTAACTCCAGACTTCTAATTAAGCGGGATATATAAATGTCTTTATTGATTAAGGCACAGGTATTTTTTGATACTTGCATCTGAGTATATGCAAACCTAGAGCTATAAAGCTTGAGGTGCATCACTTACAGCTGCAGATAGCTTCATGCATTTATCCCAAATATAATCATTTTTTTGTATGCCATGCTGTGAAAAAAGGCTGGGAAGCCCTATTACATTTGACACATTTCTTCTTCCCTCACTTACGAAATGTTAGATCTGAGTCCAATTTAACCCAGTTTTAGAAAATGAAGTGTCTTGATCAAGGTCAGTATTTGTCTGTCTTTGCTTTTAACTTATATTCTGTCATCTCCCCTATCAATTATTCCCTGCCTTTTTAGTCTCTCATTTTTTACTGTCTCCCCCTCTGCTATCGATAACATGTTCAAGTACCTTCCATCCTGAAACTTAAAGAATTAATTATCCCTGGGATCCTGTTTTCCTCTTAACTGCTACACACTGTCTTCTTGATCAAACAAGAATCTGCACTCATAGTTTCCATTTTATCACCTCCTCTTTATTCCAAAGTCTGCTTATTTCTGTCTTCCTTATCCCATCATATCACTGAGATAGTTCTCAAGATAGTTATGTCCAACACTTCTACTACTAGATCTAATGAAAACTTAAAATCTTCACTTTACTTCCTTTTCCCACTTGTTTTTAACCACTCTTAACTTCCTGAGTTTCTATTTCCTTGACACTTTCTCCTGATTTTCTTTTACTTTTCCGATTATTGCTTCTTTTTCTCCATGGATTTCTTCTTAGCTCATCTTAAATGTTGCTGTGCTTCACATTTCTGTCAACTTCTCCCTCTCTTCCTTTGGCATGGTTCCACTCTGAGTGATAACTTCCAACATATGTGTCATTTGCCTTCAAAATCATAGTTCCAGACCTGACCACTCCTAGGCCTTGCTTGTATGCATATATTACTGATTATCAGGTAACCAAAAATTGTTTTTATTGCCTACTTAGAAAATGTATAGCATGACAAATCACATGAAATGATTTCAAAACGCCTTTGTGAAATTAGAGTTTAATTTTGGCTATAGGCTCATCTTTATATTTCAACATGGGCATTTAATCTCACCCATTTTTTACAGTGTATTTGCATTCTAGTTCAGTGGACTGTCAATTTTGTAAGAAATTCACATTTAAGATATTGAGCACATCTCAAAAATTTAAAACGCTATCAAAATACTTATTTGACAAACTCAGTTTAAAAAAAACTGTATGTGTTTTTAAAAAATAAATTATTTTAATACTTTTTTTCAAGATGTCTTGATATTCTTGACCCCTTGCATTTCCCTTTAAATTTTAGAATAAACTAGTCAACTTACACACACTACTCAGATTAGAATTGGACTGCACTAAGATTATGGGAAAATTTATTCTTTATTATTGTATATTTCAATATGATCAAAAATAATAACAAATGTATAAGGCGTCTAACAGAAACCATAAAAATTATGAAGAGAAAATAATAAAGAAGACAAATAGAGGGATATACTATGTTCACAGATTAGAAGGACTTACTCTACCAGTTATTAAGACTTATTACAAAGTTTCTGCAAGTAATAGTGTTGAATTGGTACAAGAATAGACAGATAAACCAACTGTATAGAGCAGAGAGTATAAAAACAGATCTACATATATAAGGACACTTGATTTATGACAAAGGAAGTGTTCTTGGGAACAGAATGTTTTTTTCACCAATAAATTGAGTCGGTTCAATGGGATACCCATGGAGGAAAAAATTGACCCTTCCTTCATACCAATTCTAGATATATTATAAACCCAAAAGTGAAAGGTATAATAAAAAACTCCTAGAGTACATCATAGGGAAGAGTTGCATGTAACTGGATGTGGGTCAAAATTCCCTAATTAAGATATATAAAGCTCTTAACATAAAGGAAAAAAATTATGAACTGGATAACATTAAAATGGAGAACTTCTGTTTTAGAAGACATTGATAAAAGAGGAAAAGGCACATCATAGAATAAAATAAATATGCCCATATGTAACCCAAAGAGGACTTGTTACTAGAATACGGGGGGTGGCCAAAAGTAGGTTTACAGTTGTTCATATTGAAAATACAATAAATAGTATTATTTGTATTGTAATAAATAGTAATATAAGAATAAACTGTATTTTGCATACTCACAACTGTAAACCTACTTTTGCTCACCCCTGTGTATTTTATAAGTACAGATCAATAATAAAAGAAAGAACAACTCTCAACAGAAAAACAAGATACAATACTTTAACAGATATTCACAAAGAGGATATCCAGATGTCCAATTAATGTATAAAAAGGTACTAAGTCTCATTAATAGCCAAGGAAATACAAATTAAAATCACAATATGATAATACTATATACCCATAAGAATGGCTAAAATGGAAAATACTGATTATATCAAGTGTTGGTGATGATATAGAGAAACCGAGACTCTCATAATCTCCTGGGATGAATTAAAACCACTTTGAAAAACTGTTTGACAACCTCTACGAGAGATGAACATGTGCATGTTCTATGGTCCAGCAATTTCACCAAAACATATGTACAAGAATATTCATAGCAGCTTATTCAAAATAGCCAAAGCTATAAATAATCTAAATGTTCAACAGTAGAGTAGAAAAATAGTGATATGTTTATAAATCAATGGAACACTACACAGCAATGAAAATCAACAAACTACTGCTATAAGCATCAAATGAATGAATCTCATAATGATAGTGTTGAGCAAAAAAGGGCAAATACAAAAGACTATATAGTATATGATTCACTTATATGGAATTCAAATAAAACCACCTATTGTAAAACCACCTAGAAGTCAAAACAGTGGTTACTTTTTGAGGTTAGTGAGGTTAGTGAAGAGGTTAGTGATTATGAGAGAAAGAGGCTTCTAGAAAAATAATATTTTGTTTTTTGACCTGTGTGATATATATGTTAATAGGTTTTGTGGTAATTCATCAAGCTGTGTACTTTACTCTTTATATGTTATACTTTTTTAAAATGTAAAAGTAAGTATAAATGGCAATAGATTAAAAGAAATAATCCCTTATAATTTATAAAATCTTTTCAATTTTGTCATGCTTTATGAGAAACACTTTTGAAATTTATTCTTTAAATTTACAGCACTCATAATTCAAAATACAGTAATATTTGTTTGTCCCAAAATCACAGACTTAAATGATGGAATACTGAATTTTAGCCAACAATGGCACAATGGCTGAAACAAACGCAACTGTGGCTAAATGAAAGTAAAACCACAATATTTTGACCAGTAATTAATTTTGGTCAAAAGTAAGTAATTTTATTTTATAAAAACAAAATAATTTTAGTTATTTAAGCAAATTTTGTTTTAGTGAACTGAAGTAAATTTTTAATTTAAAATTATTTTGCTTTATGAATAGAATGTACAATATTACCTTTAACATTACATAAACTCAGTATATTTATTTCTAGATTCTAATAATTCTCTTAACTTACCAAATAAATTAATGCTGCATATGAAGCATATATTAGGCTAGTTAATGCAGTCTTTGCTGGAAAGGAAATGATATCAAACAAAGAACTCTTTCTGACCTGTAAAAACAGAAGAGAGTTTTCTTATTAAAACAGATATTTTCAATGTTACAGTGTTAACTTTTACAGTGTTACTGAAATATTATAATTTAAATTTTTTTCAAATAAAGTCATCTACTTTAGACCTATCCTGTTTTTTAACCCTCTAAAACCTATTTATTTTTCTCCTTTTATAAAAATATACATTCTTTTGCTCATCAAAATCTATGACATATCTATTTTAAGAACCTTGCATTTCCAAAATCTAAATTACTTTAACTTTTTTACATTTACCAAGTGCTCACCAGGGGGTGCTACTGTGCATGGGAGAAAAACAGTCTTTGTCTCCCTTGCCTGAGGAGATATATCAGAAAAAATATCACTATGAGCAATGTCCAAGATACTACTGCCTATGTTTTCTTCTAGGATTCTTATGGTTTGGGGTCTAAAATTTAAGTCTTTAATCCATTTTTAATTTATTCTTATGTGTGTGGTGTAATAAGGTGGTCTAGTTTCATTTTTCTGCAAATATCTGTTCAATTTTCCCAACGCCATTTATTGAATAAACTATCTTTAGTCCATTGTATGTGTTTGCTTCTTCTGTCAAATATTAAATAACTATAAAGATGTGGGTTTATTTCTGGGTTCTCTATTCTGTTCCATTGACCTATGTGTCTTTTTTGTGCCAGTACCATGCTGTTTTGATTACAATGGCCTTATAGTATAGTTTGATATTAGGTGGTGTGATTCCTCCAACTTTGTTCTTCCACAATATCACTGTTGCTATTGGGGGTCTTTTGTGATTCCATAAAAGAAAAACTAAACAAATAGGACTACATCAAACTAAAAAATTTTTGCACAGCAAAGGAAAACATCAGCAAAATAAAAAGACAGCCCTCAGAATAGGAGAAGATATTCACCGACACGTCTGATAAGAGGTTAATATTCAAAATTTATAAAGAACTTATAAAACTCAACACCAGAAAAACAAACAACCCTATTTAAAAATGGGCAAATGATCTGAATAGACACTTCTCCAAAAAGGACACACGAATGGCCCATAGACATATGAAATGATGCTCAATGTCATTAATCATCAGAGAAATGCAAATTAAAACCACAATGAGATATTACTGCATACCTTGTCAGAATGGCTATCATCAATAAGTCAACAAAAAGTGCTAGTAAGGATGTGGAGAAAAGGGAGCTTTTTTGCACTGTTGGTGGGAATGCAGACTGTACAGTCAGTCACTGCAGAGAGCAGTATGGAGATACATCAAAAAGTTAGAAATGGAACTGCCTCATGACTTAGCGATTCCACTCCTGGGAATTTATCCAAATAAACCAGAAAACACTAATTCCAAAGAACATAGGCACCCCTGTGTTCACTGCAGCATTATTTATAATCACCAAGATATGGAAGCAGCCCAAGTGTCCATCAGTAGATGAATGGATGAAACAACTATCTGGGGTGCCCAACCAGCAGCCCGCGGGCTGCCTGTGGCCCAGGATGGCTATGAATATGGCCCAACACAAAACTGTAAATTTACTTAAAACCTTTTTTCCGCTCATCAGTTTTCTTTAGTGTTCATGTATTTAATGGGTGGCCCAAGACAACTCTTCTTCCAGTGTGACCCAGAGATACCAAAAGGTTGGACACCCACACAATGGAATTCTAGTTGGTTATAAAAAAAAAGAAGAAAATTTTACCCTTTTTGACAGCATGTATGGACCTGGAGAATCTTATGTGAAGTGAAGCAAGTCAGAGAAAGATAAATACCATATGATTTCACTTGTGTGGAATCTAATGAACAAACTGAACTAATAAGCAAAATAGAGACAGGCTCATAGATAGAGAGCTATTGGGGGTTTGGCAGTGGAGGGATTCAGCAAAAATGAAAAAGGGCCCATGGACATGGACAAAAGTATGGTGACTGCAGGAAGGACGGGGTATAAGGGTATAAAGAGTAATGGAAATAAGCAACTAGGCAAATAAATAAATAATAAAAGAAGTCTTTATTCAACTTCATGTAATCATCCTTTACTAAATTATTCATTTCTTCAATTAAGCATTCAAAATACTGAGCTTTTCCTGGAGATTAATGCCCTGCTTGGAAATGTTAATCAGAGACTGCTTTATGCCAGCATTAACCTTAGGTGATCACTAAGCTTCAGGAAATGCTCTGTGCTCATAGCCAGCATGCTTTTTTGAAGTGTAAAAAAGGTTTACACCAATGATGACTTTGTCTCTCAAATGTTTCTAGCCTCGGGTAATAGCAGGTGTCCCTGCCTAAAACATAATAGTATACTATATTCAGTTTAAAGGAACCCTACCCTCATAGGCCACCTCCACCTCTTCTGCCTTGAGCAGGATATGAAATGAGGACATTAGGAAAACCATTCCCCTCCCAGTCAGCAGTGCCAGGGCAGTTAGCCATGTGCCTCTGAAGTACAGCCAAGCCACTCTGTGGCTTCAATAACTCCCAGAAGGTGCAGGCTATTGCAAATAAAATCATGCGATTGTATAGCAAAAATGCACACAATATTATAAAACATCAAAAACTGAAACAATGACAAAACAATTATGTAAATTACACCATTGTCTACTTGATGGTATATTGCCGCCTCTAAAAATGTGATTCCAATAGTTGCCTAGACACAGGGGTCTGGGAGAAGGTAAGAATGAATTATAAAAGGGAATGGGGAAACCTTTGGGGGTGATGAATATGTTCATTATCTTGACTGCAGCGATGGTTTTATGGGTGTACATACATCTCAAAACTCATCATATTGTATACTTTAAATATATGCAGTTTAATGTATATTAATGGTATCTCATTCAAACTATTAAAACGTGTACTTGGACTCTGGGGGTGGGGGGTCAGAGAATGTGTTTCCAAAGAACATGTATAACATTCTAATGAAGATGTATATGGCAATGTGTATAGGGTCCTGTTCTAAGTACTTGTTACTGTAGTAAACTCTGTTTTTGCTTACTGCTGCCACTACTGAATGGCAAATAAAATTGCCCATCACAATTTCACTACTTCTTTCTTAAGAGATTTATGGAATGCTGAAGCCAAGAATACTATCTAGCACAGTAGCTATGAGATGGCTATTGTTGGCAGCGGGGAGGGGGAGGTACTTATTCCCCACTTTTAAGGCCATACTAACTCCTAGATACAGGGACAGGTAGGGGTAGTTTTAGCCCCTTCTCTCCATAAGTCAGTCTGGAAAATTTCCCAGCATGCCTGTTTTCTGGAAAGTTTCCAAGAAATAAAGCAGCTGTTGCTGCTCCCCTCTTGTTAGAAGAAACAAAACGATAGCATGCCTTTGAATCCCACTGTTAGGCTACAAGGAGATGCTATATTAGTAGAGAACAGATGCAGAAAGTAGAAAGGAAAGCAGATACACTCCAGCAAGATGCCTTCTTGGCAGAGTAAAAGATTATGAGTCTGTGAATATACAAATGTAAACAGGTGGTCCATATTCAATAATTGGTAGTCCATATACAATAAAAGTGCTATCTGCATGCATAAGGACGTTACTATTTCTGCTTCACTGCATCTTTCTTTTTCAGATTTTTGTCCTTTACCTAAAAAAGTAATTAAAACTGATTAGTTTTGAAAATAAATTATGTATTTGATATATGTTATGCTTCTAAATGATGAATCTGTATGTTGCCTGAGGGTCACATTTTCACCATTTTAATGTTTTTAATAAATACTTGCCATTCCTGTGACAAGTCATCCCTGTAGAGAATGCATTTCCTCCAAAATTCATGTGGCTTCTGGCAAGTAGCCATTTTTCTCCTTTATGACTTACTTGAAATACATGTTTTTCATATTATAAGCTACACTCTTTCATCTTTGGCTTGCTATGAGCAGGAATAGTGTATGGTAAAAACAGATAAATAAACAGGAAAAATTGAGTAAATGGGAGATTTTATTCAAATTGTCTTGGCCTATTTCAAAAATTTTATCTCAACCTTGTTGTTATATTAACTTATGTTATATTATATGTTTTTTATTATATTATATTATATATAAAAATATATATTATATAATATATTATATTATATATAATCTATAATATATATTATATTATGTTATATTATATGTTATATGTTATATTATATGTTTTTTGCATATTTAAAAATAACTCATATCAATATCATGCCCATTTTTTTAAATTTGGTGATATTAATACATAAGATATATGGATATATCAACAGTAAACACACTTAAATCTTTAACTAAATTACTCCCACATAATTTTGATTGCCTCATTTCATAAAAGAACTGTGCTCATCTTTTTTCACTAATAATGAGGTAAATCACACAAAAAAAGCAATCTATAAGCAGTTTAGAAAATAAAGATCCACTTACAGATGATCTGCAGGTTACAGAATTACCAGCCTCCACTTAGTTTATGTTGTCCAAAACCACCTTGGTGAGAGATATCAGGGAGTAACAGGGGAACCTAACTCAGTGATTCACAAATAAGTGTTGCAAGAAGTATTGACCACTGTTAATAAGTCCAGAAGGAAGTGTTTCCTATAAGCATGGGAAAGCTACAAAGACCATGTCTTTGCTTAGCAACCCCATAACATTCATGAGCACAGGAAAGACTCCTAGAAGTCTGCAAACAGTAAAGGAAGTTATTTGACTTTGTATATCCCAGTATTAATGTCCTGTGGAACACTGGTCTTAAATAAGCTCTTAATCAGGTGGTTCTGTAAAAGTTCAATGTCCCAACCTCTTGGCCAAAATGAAGAATTATGTCTTCAAGATTCCAGTAGTTCTGCTCTCTAAAATTATCCTTTTTTCCCAGGTCTTGAATTATACCACCCAAGATAGTCTCATGGCAGGCTCACCCAAGGACCTACAGAAGTTCCTGATATTTGTGAGGTTTACACTATAAATCGCAACTAGGAGTGTACCTGGGAAGGTTGGGGATAAGGAGTAACCTTTACTTAGAGAAGCCTCTGACCTTCATCCTGAAAAAGGGACTACAAGTCA